ATATTTTTTTCATGTATAGTTTTTAGTAGTGTTTTGGTAGGCAAATGACTGTTAAAGTTCTGATGTCATCAATCCTGTCACATATATTTTTAAAACTTACTAGTAGATTTTCTCACCCTAAGTTCATAATTCATGCTTTGCTTGTTTTGTAGTGTATTTACACATTTGAGATTAATTTTTTTTGCTTTTGCCAAGGTTTTATTTAGATTTCTCTCCTAATACAAAAGACAGAATACAGTTCTGATGTAATCAGACCTTTCCGAGTTTTTTCTTTTCTTTCAGAGTGTGTCACCTCTAGTTCGTTATCTTAATTGTATCACCTTGGTATGTGTATATAGAATACAAATTAAACAGGAAGCATTTTTTCTTTCTTCTTACTTGCATGTGCCATTATGTAAGTGTGGACAGAAATAGTAAAGTAAGAGTAAGAAGAAGATAGTCCACTTCTTATGACCCCATTCTCCAAGATGTTCCTATACCAGTTTCTTATTTCTTCTTTTTTTTTGTCCAAATAGGTTTAGATGTACATTATATACTTATATGTACATAAACACACATATATGTATTAACAATGTAGCATCTGTAGTAACACCTGCAGCTACTTTAAACTTAAAATAACAATTATAATAGTTCAACTTACAAGATTGAGTGCTCTGTCTGAGTCAGCATCCCCATCTAGAGGTAAGTCACCAGAATCATGACTAGTAGTGCTGTCTTGAGTGTCATTGGACAGATCCCCATTCATACCTACATCTGAGAAAACGAGGAATACATAAACTCTGATGTTAATTGAATGAAAAAAAAAAAGTGTGATGATTCACAGTAATAAATAATAAAATAACAAGATTATCCATATATATATATAATATTTTCGTGTGCACTGATGACCTTGAGGATAAGAATTGCAACCACAATAGCCAGAGGAATGTCAAGAAATATACTAAGTAGTTAAGATGCATTCTCCCACAGTGAGTGAGTTTTAAAAAAACAATCAAAGCAAACACATAGACTGGATGGTGATGATGTTTCTCACTGACAAATAGAGATATGTTATCCTGAAGGGATTTTGTTCTAGACATCCATATTATTATACACACAAAAAATATTTATATCCTCCCTCTCAGTGGGCAGAAACTACTCACGTTTCTCACTGACTCTGGCAAAGGTGATTATCTCCTAGACATTTATAAACTTAGGTACAGATATGTAGCTAGAGACATTAAATACAAGAATAGAACCATATCAAATATATATAAGTGGAACACATGCCTTGATTGTGTGTACGCGTGACAAACACAGAAAATAAAGCAGTATTGCAATATGCAGATTTCTTATATATCTTTTGGTAGCACACATAATTTACAAAAGTAAACCCATTAACATAAAATCATTAGATTACAGAATACAAGAATGTGAAGTCTTAAAAAAAAAAGAATCAAACAAATACTCACACAGCACACAAATTGTAAGATATCTTCAATAATGATAACTAGCCTTGAACATATCTTAAACATCATTAAATGGGCATGCAATATTGTACAGAACTCAGGTACATGAGGAAGGAAGGGAGTAAAATGGTAAGCACGGATTCCTACATAAATAACCAAAACAGAATGGCATCTGTACAAGTGTCAGCCTATAGTTTCTGATGTGTATCCTGATCTGAATCCATTAGCAGAGACAGTTAACCCTGAGTAAACTTTACTATTGTGGCTCTCCTCTTCCCTCACAAGCCCTCATTTTTGTAAATTGAAACTTTAAACGTTAAACCAACATTTTACTAAATATAATGATTTTAAACTACTTACAGTTTCAAAGAGGAAAATTATCTTAGAAGGTTAATAAAAAGCATAACCACTGTGGACCCATAGGCAACTGTGTACTCTGTGCTTGTTTAACCTGGTCCTTATCTCACTTCTAATACGCTACGTTTCAGGTTCAAGCTTAGCACAGACTAGGGCAACTTCAAAACAGTGTCAAATGGGTGTTACTTCCTGCCCCAGGCTGTACACTCATAGACTACGCTGCCATGCTTTTTAACTGCACCTTGTACTAAAACAAATGTTGAGAAAACATCCAATAAACTGCAAGTCTAAAAATATTTATATTAGAAGCATACCGTCCTAATCAAATAAAACACAAACAACAGGTATAACAAGCCCATTTTGGGCATGAGACATAAGCTACTCTCTGTATATTGCACCTTTTACAGATTAAATTTCCCGCTCATGAATACTTTCATTATATCCAATCAAAAACACCCTTGACAACTATTTACCGAAAACATCTGATAAAACCATGTTTTCTCCTTAAACTCAGTGTGATCTCATTCATTACTTATATCTTTTCAATAAAAAATACTACTTGTCAAATGTTTTAATGCTGAAACTGGTAATATTTCTGACTGGTATTAATGAAAATAGTGGATACACAATATTTTCCAATAATGTTTTACAGGTCAGTAAGCCTAATTTACTTCATATTTTCTTTGTAATTAATTCACTTGTGTAATAAAACTCTCATGAATGACTTGGTGTAATATCCTTATACGTTTCAAACGTCTCACATCTATCTATATTACCATACATATACATCTCAACATCAGGTATTATCATATGTATTTGTAGTGTTAAGCAGACTGCCTTAAGTTCGTGCTCTACACCCATAGTAACTCTTATTAACTATGCATCGACAGCTAACTTACTGTAATGTTCTGCCATCTATGAGCCGAATATTCAACTCGCCCTTTCAGCTTCACAAAATAATCACTGTGTGAATTCAGGCAAACTACAATTTTTCAGTTAAAACTGACTTAGCTAGGATTAATATTTACAATGTTTTTACAGTATACATCAAAACCCACTCAGACCAACACAGGCTAAATATAATATTACACAGTAAGTACATTAACTGTTCGAACTATTGCAATATTGTTTACATCTCAGAAAAATAAATGCAAGCAAAATCTAGTGAAACGAGGAATTTTCTACTTAGATCCACAATTACATAATTCAAATTCCGTTTCGAAAAATAACAATGTCTTATGTCCAAGAGACGATGTCTCTTTGAAAAAAAAAAAAAATCAACAATAACAAGTCCTGTAGTCATGGCACCAACACTTCTATTTTACTTTGTGTATTCTCAAAAGTTCTGATAAGCCTGAAGATAAAGAATAAAAAACAAAATAGCTAGAAGAACGTTAATAAAACGAAATTAAACTGAATTTCCTAACTCTGACCGAGTTTAAAGCAGAATAGACACAAATTAAAAAAAAACTAAGGGAAAAGTAATCTTCATTAAATCGAAAATATTCAAAGCAAATAAAAGCATTGGACGATGGACAGCACTTCTACCTGACAGAAAGAGAGGCTTGAATTATCTATCTTATTCTGAAAATATTCTGTTCTACAGAGAGAGAATACGACATTGTATACACGGAAATACGCGGGCGCTACCCACAAGTGAAATGAAGAGAATATAGTCTATAGACATTTCTAAACATAGAAACTTTTATAAGTGCTGCTTGTTTGTAATTAGACACAAAGCTACACAATGGGCTATCTGTGCTCTACCCATCACGGGTATCGAAACCCGAATTCTAGCGTTGTAAGTCCGCAGACATGCCGCTGTGCCACTAGGGGGCTATAAGTGCTGCACACACACACACACACATTATATATAATATAGAAATTAAACTTATTTTAAAAAATTAACAATTTTGTGATTAAGCCAATTTCTGATTTTTATTTTACATTTAATGAATTAAAGAGTAGCTTTATCAGTAAAAGCATCGGTGAACTGTTAAACAAAATCACAACCACTAAAATCTTACAGATGCCTGTAAAAGTTTTTAAGGAATCCGTTATAATAATACTACTTTTGCAGGACAACAGTTACAGTATATCATATACGTTTTATTCTTTCTTCCAGGCTGAGACTATCCGCAAATTCTAGCTAGATGCATATTTAAACTGGATTCACCTTGATATCTATATTTTTGTTCTTTAGATAAGTGGCTATTATCGAAAAAAAATTGCTATTTAAAAATTCACGTGCTTTGTTGTGCGAAAAGATACTTAGGGTTCACCAATAAGTGATCGTGCAACCGTATAATAAACAAAGTCCAATAAATCCTCAGAATGTTCCTAGTACTGCTTATTACTCAGCTTGTCCTGGCAGAATGTAATGTCACTATTAAAGCTGAAATTTAGTACGGCTCATGACCAACAGTAACTAAGGGTACGTAAGAGTCTCGTGACTGTTAATCTAAAATCAGTTTTCAACCAGCAGAACTGAACTTTTCCGCTTCTTCTCATATCGCAAGCTCAATGCTTATTGTTCTTGAACCATTAACATATATGGTTCTTTTATAGATAAAAAAAAAAAAAATGAACGAACTAAATTGATATGCAACCCCTAACAAAGAATTACACGTTTAGGTACTCAAAGAAACCTATTTCAAACATGTATTATTTTGTACACAATTCTTCTAAATCTATATATAAACTCATATGTGTGAAACTAAACTGTTTTTTGTTTTTACAATAACTTATTTAATAAAGACAAAACATTATTTATTAAAACACTCAACAGATGGCACAACTGAATATCATGATGAGGACTATCTTCCTTTGCCTCGAACTCTTTTTTTTTTTTTTAACTTATATTCAAAATTTATAATAATCTCAATGTCTTACGACATTTTATGTAGTGTGGGCTTCTAAACTGGTGCCGAGCTTGGTTTTAGTGTTAAAGTACATACTGCAAGTGTTAAAGTTATACCGGTGTTAAGATGTCAAATTCATGTTCACTCGAGTAGTTGAGATGGCTGCAGGAACTGACCAAATCTATTACTAAGGAAAATTTCTGACCCATTCCTAAGACTAAAGAGGAAACAATATCCTGCAACACGCTCCAATAATGTGTTCTCGAATCAAGCAGTGAATTAGCCCCCCAGTGGCACAGCGGTATGTCTGCGGACTTACAACGCTAGAAACCGGGTTTCGATACCCGTGGTGGGCTGAGCACAGATAGCCCATTGTGTAGCTTTGTGCTTAATTCCAAACAAACAAGCAGTGGAAAACGAACATTGGCCCTTTTTAGTTATCGGTAGTAGATCAATGACTCTAAATATAAGTTCAAAAACTTACATTATTTTAAAGTTTTTTGTGGAAACTGGAGCTAATGTTATACACAATACCAATTTTGGGTTTAACGATGACATTCAGGTGATAAACGCAATGAAATGATTGGTTTTTGCAGAAGCGAACAATCTTAACTGTTTTTCCATACGTAGATTTTCTTTCTAATATCGAAAACGACGTCCGATAAAATTCAGAAAACTAAACAATTGGTAGTACTTTGTGTCTGTATCAAGTTTGAAAACATAACATTTGGTAGAACTTTGTGTCTGTATCAAGTTTGAAAACATAACATTTGGTAGAACTTTGTGTCTGTATCATGTTTGAAAACATAACATTTGGCAGTACTTTGTGTCTGTATCAAGTTTGAAAACATAACATTTGGTAGAACTTTGTGTCTGTATCAAGTTTGAAAACATAACCTTGATACAGACACAAAGTTCTAACAAATGTTATGTTTTCAAACTTGATACAGACACAAAGTTCTACCAAATGTTATGTTTTCAAACTTGATACAGACACAAAGTTCTACCAAACGTTATGTTTTCAAACTTGATGCAAACACAAAGTACTGCCAAATGTTATGTTTTCAAAGGATAATGAAACTTGGGA